AATAGCAAAAAATAGGTGTAATTAAATGGTGGAGTTGTTCTTAAAAGTTACTCCTTAACTTCAATTGGTTTGTAGAACTCACCAAATTGGAAAATGAGCTACAGTCATTGGTCACTGGCTAGTACCAGGTTGGACCCCCTTTGCCTTCAGAAGTGTTTTAATTCTTGGTAGCATACATTCAACAAGGTGCTGGAAATGTTCCTCAGAGAGGTTACTGGTGTGCATGTTTCTGACCTGACTGTCAGAAACAGACTTTATGAGGGTGGCATGAGGGCCCGACGTCCTCTAGTGGGACCTGTGCTCACAGCCCAGCACCGTGCAGCTCCATCATTCACCAGAGAACACCAGAATTGGCAGGTCCGCTTTTGGTGCCCTGTTCTCTTCACAGATGAGAGCAGGTTCATACTGAGCACATGTGACAGGCGTGAAAGAGTCTGGAGATGCCGTGGTGAACGTTATGCTGCCTGTAACATCATCCAGCATGAGCAGTTTGGTGGTGGGTCAGTGATGGTCCAAGGGGGCATGTCCTTGGAGGGTCACACAGACCTCCATGTCAGAGCCAACAGTACCCTGACTGCTGTTAGGTACCAGGATGAAATCCTCAGAGGGATTGTCAGACCTTACGCTGGTGCAGAGATCCCTGGGTTCCTCCTGGTGCAGTGGGCCCTGGGTTCCTCCTGGTGCAGGACAATGCCCGACCTCATGTGGCCAGAGTGTGTAAGCAGTCCCTGGATAATGAAGGTGTTGATGCCACTGACTGGTCCTCTTGTTTCCCTGACCTTATCCCAATGGAGCACCTATGGGACATTATGCATCGGTGCATCCGATGCCGCCATGTACCCCCACAGATGGTCCAGGAGCTCACTGATGCCCTGATCCAGGTCTGGGAGGAGATTCCCCAGTACACCATCCACCGACTCATCTGGAGCATGCCCAGACGATGTCAGGATGCATACAGGCATACTGAGCCACATTATGAGTTGTATCAGCCTGTGATTTCAGTTTTTCACTTTGATTTTTGGTGTGATTTTGAATCCAGCCCTCAGTGGGCTGATGATTTTGGTTTCCATTGACCATTGGTACATCATTTTGTTCTCATCAAATAATACAATGTACGTCAGTAAAGATTTTCAACTTGAATAATCAAGTTCATCAAGACCTGATGTGTGATTTAAGTGTTCCCTTATTTATTTATTTTTGAGCAGTTAATATACAAAACATAACAAAAAATATGTGTAATTGAAGGGTGGAGTCATTCTGTCTGACTGAGAGCAAAAAAAACAAATCGGATAATAATAAATATTCTCCTTTATGGCTTTTTATTGGTAAATCATTTACTTTTCTTTCAGTCTTTTCTGTTTGTTTTTATAAATATATAGTTCTGTTAAATCTGATTTTCTGTCTTGCTGCTCAAACCTGGAGCCTGAGTTCATCTCTGTCACCACCGCCCCTCCCAACTCACATCAATCAATGTCAGCTGTCAGTGATAATAGAGCTGTTATGACTTTTATTGGTTATTGATTTCTGATCGGTTGATGGGTTTCCCTCCTCTTCCTGACATGTTGTGGTTCGGCTATAAACTGTTGGTCAGTCTGCAGATTGATGTTGTTTGTTTCAGTCTGTAAAGCTGCAAGAAATGTTGTTCTGGTGTTAAGTATATGGCAAAACACAGCTTATTTCTGTGGTAAAATATGGAATCAAACTCCAACATTAACTGTAAAATAAGCAGTACTAATATCCTTTCATTGTTATAGTAGGAAAAGACTTCCTGTGTCAGTTTTACAGTGCATGTTTATGGTTCTGGTCTTTACTGCCTTTTGGATGTTTGTGTCCAAATAAAATATTACATAAAAAGATGAAAAATAAAATCTTAACTCTCCGTGTTACACAGTCTTGTTTCTGTGAGCTGCGTGGTTGAAAGTCATAACGAGTCTCAGGTCATCAGTCAGGACCGTAACTCCTCCTGACCTCCTCCTGTTGACCCCTTGACCTCATGTTGACCCCCCCGCCCTCCATCAGACCTCCATCAACCGCAGGCTACATATCTGTCAGGGTTTGATGAAGTTGTTCACAAAAAGCCCTGATAGGAAGTGTGGTGCTCTTTACTGGGTGTTGTAACGATTTCTAAAGACAAACAGTTAATCTGTAGAAAACAAACAGTCCTGTCGTTGTTATATTTTAGTCTGGAGCAAAGTGATCGATCTTATTTACAGTTGACTTTATTCTCTGACAGTGATAGGGTTAATCAAACAGGCGTGGTGGCTTGTCAGTCATAGTTTAGGTGTGTCATCAGTGGGAGTGGCCTCTGGGTGTTACCTGGTGGCAGGTACTGGCAGTACCCAGTGGAGTTGACCAGGATGTTGGTGTGGAAGGAGGCATCGAACCTGTCATCAGCACTGTGGAGACAGAGACAGATATACAGTCAGTGTCCATCAGAGGGCGCCGAGTGGGGAGTAAATCATAGTTTCATCAAGGCTACAGCTGATCACACACACAGTTTTCCTTATGTACTTGTGAGGACCCTCACTGACATAAATTATTATCTGTAACAGTCCACTGAGGCGGCCGCTGGAAATAAAACCCACAACACTCTGTGAAGATTATTTATTCTTATAAATGTTTCATGAGACACACTGAGAACTATGTTCTCATTTTAAAATGTTCTCACTTTTTCAATAAATGTACTCACTTTTAATAAATATCATCACTTTCCCCAAATGTCTACATTGTTCAGAATGTCCTCACTTCTACAAAAATGTCCTCACTTTTCAGTATATGTTTTCTCTTTCCCGGAACGTCCTCATAGTTCAAAATGTCCTCACTAAATAGCTATACTTTCTCAGAAAATGTCATCACTTAAAAAAAATCCTCGTAGTTTAAACACCCTCACTAACTTTCCTCAGTTTTTCGACAGATGTCCTTACTTTTAAATTAATGTCATCATTTTCCCTAAATGTCCTCATAGTTCAAAATGTCTTCACTTTTTAAAAAACGTCCTCACAGTTCAAAAGGTCCCCACTAATTGGCCTAACTTTTTTTTTTTTAATGTCCTTACTTTTCACTTTCCCCAAATTTCCTCATAATTCAAAATTTTCTCACTTTTTCAAAGAATGCCTTCCAATTTTAAAATGCCCTCACTAAATGTACTTACTTCCCGAACATGTTCTCAGTTTTCTACATTGTTCTCATTTTACAAAATTATCTTCACTTTTTAAATATTTCATTTTCTCAAGGTCTAACACTCAGATATGTCCTTGCAAAGAGCGCAGTACAAGTACAAACACAGACAGGATACTCTATAAATCAACACTCCCCAGTGAAACCTTGCAACCTTGCAGATAGTGATTTTTTTAAGAAACTAAGAAAAACAGCCCCATTTTCTGAATAACAATTTAAAAATGTATCTAAACTGATTTTTAAATCTGTATTTTTGGGGCCGCCTAACACTTTTGATTCAAAACCAAAAAATAAATAAATAAATAATAATTTTAAAGACCTGTAAGAATTCCTCAGAAATGAATAAGAAGAATAAAACTAACAAAACAACAAACATCAACAGTAAGTTAACACAAGATCAGGTCTGTGACTGCAGACTGAATTCTTCTTGTGACGCATTCACATAACACACGAACACACGCACACACACAGAGCCGAGACCTCCTGTCAGTATCATTCTCCTGCTGCAAACACACCAGATTTCAGACCAGCAAACAGACCTGCAGCTGTCTGCCTTTACTGCTGTTTGTGTGGGAAACAGTTGTTCTGCTGTCTGCATCATTACTAACCCATAAATATGATGCTCATCATCAAGGTGAACACAGCCTGTTGACCTGCAACACTTCCACTCAACAAGTAAGCAAAAACTATTTAACATGTCAAGAGACAGATGATAGTTTTTCTTTTTCCGGAGAGCAGATCATATTTGGATTCATGTTGCAGCTGAAATTTTCATACAAAAATAAATGTTTTCATGTTTTCTGTGTGAGGAAAAGAAACATGGGTGTGTAGGTCTTAAAATGAGGTGTGTTTAGGATACTTAGGCGAATTGCTATTTTATGGCAGCAAAAATTGCACTACTGAAATGAAAAACCTGGTCTTAAGTCAGAATGGTGCAGTATTTTCCTGCTATTTAAAGGGCCCATTATCCAGAGAGTAAAATGTGTCTACAGGGGTGTGTTCACATGCGTACACTCTGCTTGTTACACACACAGGGACATCTGGATGGGTTGTGGCTGGGTGTAAAATGCTTCATTAACGATGAAAATATTAATGACACTGTAAAATGTGAATGTAGCAGAGATCAGAGCAGAGCTGCAGAGCTGTGGTCCCACTCCCATTAAGAGAGACGCTGTGCCCATTTACACACGAGGAGCAGTGTAACTTCAGTGACTGTTTCAGAAGCTAGATGTTTGGGTCTGTTTCTTTTGACAAGTTTGTAACCACAGTTTTTACTTTAGCCACTTTAAATTTCCCACTATATTTGCTGTAGTGACATTACTTCTTCTACACTGCTCGCTCCTCCATTTTGCCAGAGCTGCCATGATGATAGCAGTGCGCAACTGACTTTTAAAGGGAGATGACGCTTTGATTGGTTGAATTCATGTTACACTCAAAATATACCTATGAATGATTAACTGACTAAATGCAACCTCTTTGCCCCTTGTGCCTTTCTTAGCACCCAGATAAAGCACTGTGTAACTAGCAAAAAGTGGTCGTACATGCCCTAAATGCTATAGATGGTTCACATAGGGTCCAGTTTCTCCATCACAGTTTATCCACCAGAAAACTCAGATTTTCTAATTGTGAAATGTCCCACTCTGTTTTTATTTAAGGGGTCAGTATCAGCAAGTTTGTTTTTAGCCAATATATCACTATCTTTTCTTTATCTTAAACTCAAAAATACATATAATTTTTGGGCTCAAAACTCCAGCATTGATACAAGAAACGCTGAAAGCTGGAGATAAAAACATTAGAGTCACCCATGTTAACCTGCTTCCAACATGTTAAAAAACAAAGTTAACAACTGAACATAACTTTTGCTGTGTATCATCCAGAAACGTTCGCTTTTCTCAGGATACGTACAAACTGGACTGAGTGGGCGGAGGAGCACGTTGGCTCAAAGAAGAAAACTCTGAGGTAAAACTACATTAAGTGTGCTGTAAAGTTGACCCTGTGCCCAAATAATAATTCAAAGTCAGACTGTGGTGCCGTTCACTGGCCCCCTCTCATTAAAGCCAGCCAGGTCAATATTCCCTCTGACGGCACCCCTCGCCTCCCCCACACACACACTGCGCTCCTAAACACCGCTCACTTAATGAGCTGAAACGCTCGTCAGCATCCAGCAGCGAGCCTCCCACAGCCAGCAGCTCTGATGTGTGAGTTAACAGTGAGGTATTAATCCTGACAGGGAGAGGACTGATCTTCAGGAGGGAATTAGCTGAATTAGCTTGTTTACTGAATCAGAACTGAGGGATGAAAACGAACTGAGTGAGCTGTCTTTAGCCTCGTTCAGGGCGTCTCACCGTGAACTAAAACATCCTCAATCCACCGGAGACAAATTGATCCGAGCAATGTGTCGCCTGGGGTTTAATATAAAAAGAGGTTGGATGCCCGTCCAAGAAGTTTCCCTCATCAACAGGATTGTTCTTTTCTGACTTTTTATATTTAAAGAAGAAAACTCAGTACGCAGAATTTCACAGGCATGAATATTCAGTGCCATAATAAAACAAGTGACTTCAAATAATGCAAGTGATTGTCATTGATATGGCACCAAACCTAACTGCTTGGGTTGCCTGTCCATGGGCAGTCCCCTCACTTTGACATCTCTCCATTTACAGCTTGTATAGGGCCTGTTTGTGCATGTGTGTGTATTTCGGGCCTGTGTATATATGACAGAGTAACTCTTTGTCTTCTTTCTGCTTATAAAGACCATGTAAATCTGTTGAAAGCTCCAGATTGAAAGAGTACGTGGACCTTGAGTTGAGATTATTTTGTCAAGTATCTTAAAATGATTTAACGACACAAGTTTTGCCAGAATGTTTAAACAATTCAGGTGTAAACTCGTACCTGTTGTACAGCAGGATGTCAGGCCTCCAGATCTGACTGTCTGGGAATCTGACGTTGGTCACACCTGGATAGTCAGACATGTTCCACTGCAGGTAGAAATCCGTCCAGTACTGAAACAACAAAACACACAAACACACACACACACACACACACACACACACACACACACACACTAATATTAATACTAATGTTCACACCAACTCTGTTTCCACACACACATTTTTTCATATCTTGTTTCAGTCTCTTGTGCACATAGAAGTGATGTTTTCTGTCACTTAAAAATGTTTTTGACGTTACCATTTGCTTTTAGCTGTGTGCAAAGTGAAAATGGAACTTCAGACTTTTTAATTCTTTACTGTAGTCTTCTGTGTTTTAATGCATGTCTCAATTAGTGCCTCATAACATTCACCAATCAGCCAAAACATTAAAATCACTGACAGGTGAAGTGAACAACATTGATCATCTTGTTACAGTGCAATGTTCTGTTGGGAAACGCCATGCCACACCACAATAACTGCTCAGGAGTGGCCTGAGGAACATGACAGCGACCTCAAGGTATTGACCTGGCCTCCAAATTCCCCAAATCCCAGTCTGACCAACCAATATCTGTGGGACGTGCTGGTACCCCACCTCACAACCCACAGGACCTAAAAGATCTGAAGCCGATGCGTTGGTGCCAGACACTACAGGACACCCTCCAGAGGTCCTGTGTCCATTCCTTAACAAGTCAGAGCCAAGTCCGATCCGAGGAGGACCCAGCGTGGATCCAGGGTACCCCTTGGGTACCAGCACATTTCTCAGATGTTCGACCAGATTGGGATCTGGGGTATTTGAAGGCCAAGAAAATACCTGCCTTGAGCTCTTTGTTCCATTCCTCAGGTCATTCCTGAGCAGCTATTGTGGTGTGGCATGGTGCATTGTCCTCTTGGGAGGTCACTGCCATCGACCAGTGCCGTTGCCAAAAGGGGGTTTACTTGGTCTGTGTCTTGTGAGTAGATATTGGCACATATTGGATAGCGACCCACAGATTGGTGCTGCATTCTCTACTCCACCAAGATATTTTTATAAAAGATCTGTCAATCTACGAGATTACCTCGTGAGGTCAGATTTGTCTCAGAGACCTATTCATTTCATGTCTAAAATCCCTACTGGAAATTTTCCATGTCATAATTGTGTACACTGGTACTCTATGATCAAAGGTAACACATTTTCTCATCCAAAGTCCGGAGTTGACATTAAAGTCAGAGGCAGAATCACATACAACACAAAACATGTTGTTTATCTGTTAAAATGTCCGTGCGATTTGTATTATGTTGATAAAACAAAACGTGAGTTAAAAACCAGAATCTGCAAACACAAGTGTTCCATTCGTAATAATGACAAAAAATCCTCCGTTGCGAGACACTTTAATAGTCATAAACACACTGTAAGTGAACTACATTACATGGGCATTGAGATGGTTAACATGCCACGCAGAGGTGGTAACAGGGACAAGATCCTGCTTCAGAGAGACATATTGGATCCATTTCTTAGACACACTTATCCCTATGGGTTTAAATAAGGAAATCTCATTTGCATGTTTTTTATGAATCGTGTGTAATCTTCATTAGGTTTATTTTTGTTGTTAATTCTTTTCTTTTGCATGGTCACGTGACTTAGCCACCAATTTACTCCCACTGCTGTGATTTACAAGCTGTGTCAGTCGGGTTGATTTATAATTAAGCGCACCTGTGCGTGCTGTTGTATTGTTTGCCAGAACACACTGAAGAAGGGCCAGACCTGAAACGTCTGTGTGGCAAAATAAAATTTGATAAACTTGGAGTGCTGTTCCTCTCATCTTTTTGAATTTTACACTTTATTTAGAATTCAGCACCCAGTTTTTTTGTTTCTGTGAGTTGAGCGCATTGTCTCCTATTTTTGGTTTACTTGGTCTGCAATGGTGTTTGGGTGGTTGGAGCGCATCAGGTAGCATTTACACGAATGCCAGGACCCAAGGTTTCCCGATGGAATATTCCACTGTAACAAGACGATCAATGTTATTCACTTTACCCGCCAGTGGTTTTAACCTCTTTAACTCCGTTCGGACGCCGGTGTCTGCGCTCCCTCCTTCCTCTGTTAAATGGGATCTCACAGGCGCACTACGTCATCAAACCATGTGATGCTTGGTATCACCGGATTCAGGAAGCTCTCGGCTTCCTGAATCCGGCATCGTTTTTCTTTTATTCCTTATGGTTTTCGCACCAGAGCAGCCTAAATACACAAAGTCCAAAATCGTGATGAGTGGTGACAAGCCATGTCATGCCGTTTTTCAAGGGGAAAAGTTAAAGGATTACTCACGATCTCATGCGGATCTGTTAGCGGGCACGTAGCTGGTTTATAAAAGGTACGAGTCTCACTCCTACCACTATTTTTGGCTGAGATATACCGTCTAGAAAGTGGGATCATAACTTTCAAGTTTCATATGGCTTTATTTGGTGATATTTTATGGTGTTTCTGTGTCATAAACAACAAGCCGAGTGAGTTTTGAAGCCGAGTGAGTGCTCTGTCATTTGGAGCTCCGCCTGGATCTTTTCATGGAAAAAACACTGTAGAATGGTCATACTTTGAGCAATCTTCTTCAAATTTGAAACAAGTGTTCATTGATAGTGTGCCTACAGCCCCATAGTGTCATTTACCTGCTCATATGAAGCCACAGACAGTTATTCATCCTGAAACACATTTTTATTTTATTTTAGGCAAAATCTTTAATTTTATACTGACTTCAGAGGCCCATTACTCTGTCTCTGTATCACCTAGAGTCTTTCTGACACTTTCACAAGAAACTTCAGAGAGTTTGCTTTCTGGCAAGACCTCATGCATGCATGTAGTCAGAGCGGTTCAGACGCTACAGTCATTTTAATTTGGGTATGTCATTTTAGGCGTTTTCTCTACAAAATGGGGGTGGAGTGTTGTGGCTGATCGATGTATAGTACAGGGTGGCACGGTGGTGCAGTGGTTAGCATTGTTGCTTCATAGCAAGAGGGTTGCTGGTTCAAACCCCGAGGTGAAGGAGCAATGTGCAGAGTTTGCCTGTTCTCCCTGTGTCAGCTTCTTCCCACAGTCCAAAGACATGCAGGTTAATTGGTGACTTTAAATTGTCCATACGTGTGAATGAGAGTGTGAATGGTTGTCTGTCTCTATGTGTCAGCCCTGTGATAGTCTGGTGACCTGTCCAGGTTGTACCCTGCCTCTCACCCAGTGTCACCTGGGACAGGCTCCAGCCCCCCCGCGAACACTAACAGGTTAAGCAGTTACGAAAAATGAATGAGTGAATGAAATGTGGCACAACGTTGTCTTGTTTCATCCGTATTTCTATTGACATTAATATTCATCACTTGCTGTGTATTGCTGCTTCTGTGTTGCATGTTTTAGTTAGCACCTGGTAATGGAGCATGATAATGCCTTTTGTTATGTCTTAAATTACACTAACTCAATCAGTGTTCAGCACACAGAAACCATTTCAGAAGCCTTTTAAATTTTAATCTTGTATTTTTCTTGGAGAAACTTTGTAATATCTGTCCAGAGACTATAAATAATACACTATTGGCTAAATCTGGTGCATTTACAGTAATGTTTATTAATGTGGGCTGTCCCTGTTAAATAAAGTGGTGAAAAACAAAAGGGGGAAAACAGGAAAAATAAACAAATAAGGCCTGCTTCTTTCTCATTCTCATCACATCCTAAAGTACTCGTCTGTTAAGTGGATATTTGGCTGAAGTGAGGCATAAATTCAAAATTGCTTTCCATACAATATATTCTGGGGAACAAAAAGATGGAAATTAGGTCTCCATAAAAAGCGTGAGAGGAGTAAACATGTCCAGAAGCGAAGTCTGAAAGCAGCTGATAAGCAGCAGCTCGTCTGTGTTTGACCTCCATATTTCAGCTGGTGAAATCTAGATTACACTGATGGATCTTATGTAACAGCCATTGTTAGCTGTGTGTGTCTTAATGGAGCGGCTGTGAGAGAAAAGAGGGACACGCGGCCAACAAACATCAGGACTGTGCTGATGCTTCATTTGCATACGCAGCTCTGGTGGCCAGCTCGCTCCTCATTACAATCTCCCAGCCTCTCGCAGCTCTTTGGTCTGCGCTGATGGCTGAAGGTCGCCCATATATCTCTCTTGGGCTTGTTTACTTCCTGTCACTGAGCTGAAATGTTTTCCCAGAGGAATGTGTTGAAAGCACAACTGTCACAGTGGCTGCAGAGAAACCCCCACCCCCAAAAATCACAAGACAGGACTCTGAAGTTCATGTCAAACTACACGTCTGATGACCACCGGGGTGCAGACTTATGCGAAATGTTTTCTGAAATGCAATTCATGCTTCAAGTTCCTCAATTTTTTTTTTTTAAAAAGGTTTGAATTAAGAACCATAAAATGTTTATTTTTAATTCCGCAGTGTCACTTTTATCTCCATCACCACCTCAACATGAAGCAGTGAGTTTACATGCAGGCTAATAATTCTGAAATATTGATTAACTAAAGAAATATCAGCACTTATCAGGCGGCACATGGAAACATATTAGTCAGAAGTCTGAGTTAATGAGCTGCAATGACCTGGATGTTACGTTTACTGTGCAGCAGCACAACAATGAAATGAATAAATGTAAAACTCATCAATTTACCAATTACTGTTAGAGCTGATGAGTTGGCAGTTTTATTTTGACGTCATTGGGCAAAAATCCCATATAACCTTTGAGCATACTGTGGTCATTTCAGGATGTCAACATGTGCGATCACAGCAAGTGATGCAAGTTCAGCCAATCCCTGTGAATCCTGCGTGACCTTGCAATTTTGTCCAATCACTGCAACTTTACAGCAAATTTGACTATTTAAGTTGAGTAAAGACTCGTTTTATTGCAGAGCTGCGTGCAGCACAGTGATTCTCTCAGCCCCTCTCTGTATCTGTTTATCATGTGACGGCTGCTGCTGAATGAGAACTCTGTGCTTGGGACAGAGTCACACACACAGTGACAGGGCTAACTGTTAGCATTAAACCGCTAATGTTACCCAACAGTTATTAACAGGTTAAGGAAGTTGAACTGTTACGTTGTTGGTATGAGGTTGGTCTC